ATACAATAACTAATACACAGCATCCAATTGCCGGCACCTTGCTACTCATAGATGAGTGGTGGTGGCCTGACTTTGCCCCAGGCACCATGGCCCCAAAGGGGGATAGTGCGGGGAAAGCGGAGAAGTTAATCGCCGGGACCCGATTGTAAGCGACGTCACCACCTGGGCTTCTCCTCATCTCCTCATCAGACAACGAGCAAGACAACTTGGAAGGAAAGCTAAATGCTCCAGCTGCACCAAGACATCGGGACAGTTACTCAAAGCTTCCGTGTGCTGCATATGTTCTCATTCGGATCTAGGTGGGTTGTTACTATTTTATTCCATCTACCCTGAGTAGCCTGAGCTTTCCCCTCAGATTGCCACTAGTGGATCGCGCCGGCTGATCGACCCCGGCCATGAAAAAGCGCCCCGGTCGAGGTGGACTGACTTAGTTGCCTGCCATTGCATGGGCCTTCTGGAACTGACGATTTTCTCTCCTGATCTTAGACTCTTATCCTCTGTTGTTGGCCTGGGCGAAAAATCCTCGTCCCCAGCGAAGTTGCGTTGAAAAAGCGACCTTTAAACCCCCATATCCCAAACCGGCTTGGGAAACAGAAGATCGGTCGACGTCATCAATACATTTCTTCTGTCTCCAATTCCTCCTACGGGCATCCCCCCCCTCTGTCAATCTGCAACCCTCAGTCTCCCTTTTCCGTTCTTCCTCTGTTCCTTTTTCCCCCTTCTTCCATCTTCCCTTGCCATCGATTGTATCTCTCCATCCACTATGTCTATGCCTGATTTCGACACTTCTCGACGGCCCTCTCAGGCCGAGAACCAGACGATCCTTAAGTCCGAGATACCATTGAAGGAGCGATTTTTCCGCTATTTTCAGCATGAGATCACCGGTATGGCTTAGTCAACTTAATTGATGTCCTGCGAACTGGCCTTTTGGCAAGGGGAAAGAGTCTGACACGTGTGCTTGCTGCAGCCCTTCAGGAACAGATGGATCGGTTGGCAGATACTTCCCTGATAGGGGGAGAGCGGACGGATGCAACCGATCACTGTCTGGCCGGTATTGCGCGCTTGTCCAATGAAGTCAAAGATGCGGCTAGCTACATTCCCACCTACGATCAGCGGATATACGCAGAAGTAAGCTGTTACTTCATGTCGAGGGTGAAAGTGCAAGGCTGATCAACGGTGGTATACAGGCTATCAAAGCACTGCAGGACAAACTAGTCGAGACCCGGGCTGCCGTGGAACCGCGCCCCAAGTTCAGTTTCAAGACTAAGAAGAATGCCTCGGCCATCTCTCTCTCTGATGCGGCACAAATGGCTGCGCAGGTACGCAGTATCCCCGGATTCGCCTCGCCCGGCTCGTCCTCCGTGGGCTCCTCCGCCGCTCAAACCCCGATGTATCCGTCGACTCCGCTCAATGAGCCCGACAACCGGCTGCACCTTCTGCAACGGCCGGAGATTGCCCCCACATCGATTCCAGCTATCCCGGTCGACGAGGGAGCGGATGATAAACTCAAGCCGCCGGAGCAGCCCCATGGCTTCGCAGCCACCGCTATTACCTCCGTGTCCGTGAATAACCATCACAACCTCCACATCATGCTGCCATCCTCGGGGTCTACAGCCAACGTACCCGCATCTATCACCTCGCTGCGCCACTGCGTGGTCGACATGTCAATACCGACTGTCAACGGCAAGCCCTACGCTAGTCTCACCGCGAAGAACGTGAAGGAGAGCCTACTGGTCTGCGGACAGATCAATGGCCCCGCTCACATCACTGACGTGGAGCATAGTATCGTGGTGGTGGATTGTCGCCAGTTCCGTATGCACAACTGCTCCAATGTGGACGTCTACCTGAGTGCGTCCAGCAATCCTATCATTGAAGACTGCACCAACATCCGATTCGGTCGCATACCCCGCATCTATGTGAGTATTTCCAAATCATCTCATCTTGCTGTAAGCACTAGTCTAACCACCCACGACACACAGACATTGAACCACGATCGGCCCGACGACGAAGACCGCTGGAGCGAGGTCGAGGACTTCAAATGGATCAAGCCCGAGCCAAGCCCGAATTGGAGCCTGCTCGATCCCGAGGATGCGGTTCCCGAAGAGGTTTGGGCGGAGATTGTGCCCGGAGGCCCCGGCTGGTCTTTGGAGGATATTCTACGTGCCATAAACATCTCAAAGGTCTAATTCATTGTATTGTGGCGTGGGCGTGGATCGTCAAAGAAATGGGAGCGTGAGGCGTCGGGGACATTTACGGAAAGTTCTTTTCGATCGTATCTCACATTTGGCTTTATTGCATGAACTGTTTTCCATGGAAAGGTTGATATATACGAGGGAAGGAACTTGGCGCTTTGGACAAGCACTGCGCTTCTTGCCGAGAATAAGGACGGTGGGTTGTGCCTCATTTGTCATTTGGTGTGGTGATCCGCATGGTTGCATGCTCGCCTTCCTGCCTTTGCTGCTGGCTTTCTTTGTGCTGATATCTGATATCTCGGCATGAGATTTCCATTTACGCCGAATTTAATTTCACCTACATTCTACTTGCCTTGTGGTTGATGCCACCTGTGGTGATCTCACCCGGTTCCAAATAGACTTGGTTACATGTGAGGCATTGTGCCGCCAACTGAAGCTTTCATCTGCGGCCATAGCATGATAGTGTGCCGCTCAGGTCTAAGTTGTAATGCAAATACAGCTGGGTGGTATGCATGACACATCTCCAGCCAAAGACGTCGCTTGCGGATCCAGGCCCCATAGGTATAGAACAACCACGGAATCGACTCCGCACGTAGACCAAAGCCATGAGCGCTGGGACCGAAGCCGCCCAGTGGAGGCCCAGACGCAGCCGTAGCCGAACGGGATCCCGGCCAGGATGGGCACGATCCAGTGGGTGGTGGAGGGGGGCGTCGGTGTCCCCGCAAGCCAGAACAGCGCAATCGGGAGGCAGAGAGGCTGGCCGCAAAGCACGGGTCGCGTCGATGACTTGAGGATGCGACGGTAGCGGAGGTGGGTTCCAGTTGACTACCTAAAGAACCCTTCACAAGTCTGGTTGTCCATATTCCGGGATACACTAATTCGGACGTCCTGGAATAGCTCTTCTACCCCGGTCAAATGAGAACGGTGGACTCCTCACTTTGATTTCAAGATGCAGGGAGATCGATGATAGCTCGTTGGTAGGTATACTCAGGTTTCGGAATATTCGCAGCGGGACTCCAATAATTCGAGGATACTACATCGTATTGTTCATCAATCTATTTACACCTTGCGTTTACACTGAGAATCATTATTATACTGTTTTTCAAGATATTAGCTTATCTTGCGCTCCAGCCGCATGGTGGCCGATCTTGAGTTCAGGGGAAGACATGATATGCTCTGATGGAACAACTGATCGAATTCGAAGTGGAGCTCTTAATCACAGTCTCTGCTCTAGGGCTAGATCAACGCAATCAGCACCATCATCCTCTTCCACTTCTTCCTCCTCCTCCTCCTCCTCCTCCTCATCATCATCATCATCAACAAGAGGAGAAAAACCATTGGATCGCATCAACAACCGTATCTTTTGACCTGTTTCTCCGCCCAAATCTCCACCTCCCGAGGATTGAATCGAACTGAGGTCTGTTCTATATGACGGGCTAGTAATAGTGGTGGGGTGTGGAGAAAGGAAAGAAGAGGAGAAATTGATGGAATGTAATGTACAAACTGCCAGATTACTGCAAGACTGGATGAAGGATTCCAGAGGAATATTTGGGCGTGAATGGTGTCAGGGGCATGGCACTACATAGTATAGGAGGTACACACCTAGTAGACCGGGCCCGGCGGCTGCGGGAAGGCCCGCAGGGCGGGTGGTGTGCAGCGGTAAACCCCTCGGGCCCGCCGCCCCGCAGCGCCCCGCGTCCAGCGTCCAGGCTAGCCGCATGCGCGCCCCCGGTCCTGATGGCCAGGACCAGCTCCACCGCTAACCTAGTAGCTAGCAGCCTGCCCGCGACGAGAAGTAGGAGCTGACGCAGGCCAATCATTCTGATGCGGTGCCGGCTCAGCGGTATCAGAGTATGAATAAGACCGAAGAGAGGACAACATGTTCCCTTCTGCGCCATGGGTTGTATACATCCCCTCCTGATGGTCTTCTGTCTGCCAAAGACGGCGACCTCACCCGGAGGAAAACCGGGACCGCAAGCACAGTACAGTCAAGAATTGGATGTGAGATAGACTCCGAGGCTTGACATGTATACTCCTACGTATACTTAGGCTGGAAGGGGTGTCACTCCTATCTAACGAGTTTTCTTCATGTGGATACAGTGCTCAATGACTCAGTTGTCATCGGTCTAAAACACTGTCATTAGGCTTTACCCCTACATGATGTCAAGCAGATACAAATCTCAAGGCAAGATTCATAGGTAGGGCAATATGTTTGGGAGAAGGTTCAGGACACCCGACAGAGTCCTTCGGTCCTTTTATCGTAGCAGAGGATGCTCTACGAGGGGCGCACCGCACCCATTCCCCCTAAACCTATAAACCCCCAAGCACCACACAGCATCAACCTCAACGACAATTATCCGGCGACGGCGGCGGCCGCGGCTCCCCAAATCCACAAACCATCGGAAACACTATATTCTGCAGGGTATAAACCGGCCGATAGTCAGGCAACACCGCACCCACCACCAAATCCCCCTGCGCCCCTTCATCATCATCATCATCCTGCCGCTCTCTCCGCTGCCGCTGCAACACAATCCCCAAGCTAGTGGTAGGAATCTGCTCGCAACCACTGCACAAAAAGAAGCAATGCTCCCATCGCACCGCCACCTCCTCAAACCCGGACGACCGCCGCAGCTCGCGCCGCAACTCCTGGAGCGCGACGCGCGTCGGGCGTCTGGTGCGGCAGCGGCAGCGTCCCCGTCGCCGTCCCGCAGTCCAGGTACACATCCAGCCACAGCTGGAGGTGGCGGATGCCCCCGGAGACCGAGCCGGGCAGAGAGGCGAGGAGGGCCAGGCAGCGCGCCGGCGACGCGTCCAGCCAGATTTGGTTGTGCGCGAACACCATCGGCAGCGTTTCCTGGCGCACGCGCTGGCAGACCCGCAGCAGGCCGAGGGTCAGGCGCGGTCGAGGGCGGCGCGGCCCCCCGCCCGCCGGACAGTAGGGCGTCGCGTCCCACCAGCGTTGTCGCCGTCCTCGTTGTTGTTGTTGTTGTTGTTGTCGACGATTAGCAGCTCGCGGTAGATCTGGTCGCGGAGCTCCCGCGGAAGGCGGAGGAATGGGAAAGGCGCGGGGTTAGTTACGCTAGTTGGAGGCCGGCGGCGGATTGGAATACTGCAAGATCGGAAGAGGCGCCGTAGAGTTCTCAGTTTCCTTGTACAGACCTTCCATTCGGGCGGTGCTTTGGCGGCTGGGGCAATTTCCTCGGGGATCGTCATGGTTGATGGTGGTTGGAGATGGAAAGTGGGGGGAGCCTCATGGCCCAGGCTCTGAGCCTTGATTAGCGATGATACCACTAGAGTTGTCGCTCATCTCCTTTGAGAACGACCATCGTAACTGAGGGGCCTACTAAATATGGCTCTAATTCGAAAGACATCGGGTTCGAGATAGGGTCACTCTATGTTCTTCCTGTTAGCACACTTATGGACCTCTGGAGACGCCTATGCCTCGACCTGGAATAGATTGCGCTTATACTACAGTGTCTTTAGAGGTTAACCTATCTTGCGTATGCGGAGTATCACCATAGCTCATACCAAGTCATCAACGGATATGGATTCAAGTGTGCAATTTCAAATCTCAACTATTTCCGTAACTAGTATGAGAGAAAGGAATAAACGGAGACGTGACAAATCTCGGATGTATGATACAACCACTCTGGAAAGAAAAGAACGAAGATAACAGGCTAGAAAGGCTAGATAGAAATGTCCCGGACTTGCGTAGGCAAGGAGGTGGATAGGTAAGAGAGAGGACAGAAATGCTCATTCTTTTTTAAAACGTCAAACCAGGACCCCCAGGGCGGAGATCTAAAATTGAGGCATGCCGCCTTGACTGAACGTCGGGAACATGCTCTCATCGGTGCCAGTCCCAGTGCCGAAAGTGTCCATGAACACATTGTTCATGTAAGGATCGTCGCACAAGGCTTCAATTGCACTCATATCGACTGGTCCCGGCTGGTACATGGGGTCTGTGTAGCCGAAGGAAGCATCTTCAAAGAAGCCAGACGTTCCGTTGTTGAACGTGGCAAAGTCGTTGGCAAAGTCATTGTCCATGTACAAGAGGCAGTCCTCGTTCTTCAACTGAGTGAAGGGGTCTTGAAGCTGGAACATCTGGCTTTGCGCGTAATTGTTCAAAAACCCGGTCGGCGACTGGATTGGGCCAGATGCGGGAGTGCTAGCTTGAGTGTGGCTCGCTTGCGCCGGACTAAGTTGCCCGGAGCTGATTGGAGCAGGGCTCAATTGCACAGAGTGCATCTGGTTAGATGGGCTATACTGCTCCGGAGTGTAGTGCTCAGGGCTGTAGGTCTCCGGGCTGTAGTGCTCCGGGGTCATTTGCAGGGAATCCAGGTGGTCCGGGATCATTGGAAGTGAGCTCATGTGGTCAGGGCTCATCTGCAGAGGGGTCATCTGAGACGGTGCCAGATTAACGGAGCTAGCTTGGCCGGGACTCAGTTGCTGCGGGCTCGGCTGGGCGACACTCTCCTGACCAGGGCTGGCTTGTACAGGTGAGGGACGGCGCTTGGCATTGCGTCCGTTGTTCTTCGCGCGCACATAGTTCCATCCATGGGCTTTCTCCATGTGCTGCTTGCAGTTACTCTCGCGCTTGGACTTGTACGAGCAACCATTGAAAGTGCAGGCATACATGCGAGGAGTGGCCGAGTGGCGATCATTGATATGGCGCTCGTTTTCCTTCTCGGTGGGCCAGCCAAGCTCGTAATACTTGCATCCTTCGAACGGGCATTTGAACGGTCGTGAATGAGTCTTCTCATGTTTGCTAGATATCAAGTCAGCAATCACAATCTGCATGCAAATAATATCGACACTCACGTTAAATCACAAGGTCTTTGGAATATCTTATCGCAGTGGGAGCATTTTGTGTTGATGTTCATGGGAGGGGCGTTCTTCTTGCGCCGGGCCATGGACCGCCTGGCGCCCTCATCAGTGGCTCCCAGACTCAGGGCTCGCTTCACCACAGGAACGGCATGCGCGTCGAAGAGTTTTCCACTTTCCAGTGAAATCATCTCGCCATCCTTCTCGACCACAAGCTCAAGTGGACGCCCTGTGTCGGCCATACCACCCTCCACAACAAGCCTCGGCCTATAATGGGTTAGTCAAATGCTACTTTGTTCAATTTGGAAGGCACACTCACATCTCCTTCTTATTCTTACGAGCCTCATCCCTCATGGCCTTGAAACGGTGGACTTGAGCGGTCAGATCGAGGAAGTAAGAGTTGCTGTAGGGGCGATCGGTCGGCATGCACAAGTCACGAGGGTCGACAGTGGTGTAGGTCTCGTGCAGGCACAAGATGGTGGAGTTGCAGAATTGATAGTAGAAGCTGAGTTCGGCCTCGACATCCTGTACAGAGGCATAAGCGTCGATCCTGGGACCAAGGTACAGGAGACTTACTGCAGCTACGTAGAGCAGCGCCTTCTCAAGATCACGCAAAGTCCTAAACTTATCGCTTTCCATCTGTTGACGAGCACCCTCCACGACGTGACGGAAGGGCTTGCATGGCTCCATTCCCAGAAGAGGTGTCAAGATGCGATTCTCAATTTCCAAGCATGACGCGGGGCTAAGCTTCTGCTTGGGTGTAGCCTCATTTTCGGCAGGATGCATTGAGCTTAGGACGGCAGACAGAGCCTGGGATTTGGAGGCCGATTTGCCAGCTTTCTCTATATGACTGGTCAGATATGTCCCAACGCCAGATACCATGGACAATAGCAACCAACCTTGTTTAGAAGACGTAGACTGACGGCTACTGATCGAAGTTCCTAGCCCACTATCGGAAGCGTGGCAATGTGTCCGTCGGTTCTTCTTCGCAAATCGTTTGTCCAGATCCTCCTTGCTCAACTTCAACCGCTGAAAATGGGCCTCCAAGCTATCCTCGGAATCAGAAGATTTGTCATCCTCATCGAACCGGCCACGAGTACGGAAAGAACCGTTTTCGATACGACCTAAGATCTTAGACATGCGTTCCTGACCGGCTGCGATAGCTTCGAGGGCTCCGGGAGAAGTCGGAGAGCGAGGCAAAAGTGGGAGATTGAGGAGTAGGCCGTCCGAGGGCGAAGTGGTAGTGTAGTGGAAGGTGTCTCCCTTCTTCATACGAAGACGGGATCGAGGAGCTGACGGCGTCTCTGAAGAGGCGAGTAAAGACGGTGGAGGTGCGTTGATAACCCGCCCACGACGGGGATGTCGGGACGTCATGGTGTCGGAGGTCGACATTATCGTTGACGAGTGAAGGGTTGAAGAAAATTATAAGGGTTGTTGTGAGGTATGAATACTTCTTAGGAGTTAAACCACGTCACTCATGCCCCATCACTATCCAGACTCACTGTTTATGCCTGGATAGAATTGCGAGTCGGAACTGCGATGCGACCGCAGTGACGTATGGAGCCAAAGCGGAGATCAATAAGTTATTACTGGAGAGATGTTAGTTGCTGAAGCCATTCCACCAGGTTATAAAAGAAGAAAAAAAATAAAACCGTCACGCACCAGCGGTGGTCGAGAAATGTCAGGTTTACGGAGGTCTCCTAAAGGGGAGGGAGAGGGGGGTCGGTGGATGATGGAATGCCCCAGGCTGATAATGCGATCAAGCAAGCACCACCCCTTTCACTAAACGGGACCAACAAGACAAGCAAAACAACAAGAGAGGTTGGTGACAGGTAAATGTGGATATTCAGGTAACGAGTCTAGTTTAGGAGAGAGATAGGCTGACAGTTGGGGGGACGAGGGAGGAATAATAGCGGAGATGAAGTGGAAAGGAAGAGTCAACGAAGTACGGAGAGACGACTCAAGTCGAGGAACGGGGGTACGTACAAGGAGTAGACGGAGAGTAAGAATGAGGCTGTTTCCACCGGGCTGAGTCTCAGTCCGCGTCTTCTTGGATGTCTGCCTGATAGACGAGCCAGACCATACTAGAAGAGGAAAGGTGCCTGGAGTCTCCCCATTAACAGTAAGTGATTGGCTGTGAGCGGGGGCTTGGATCTCCTCCATAGCCACGGCACTCGTTTCGGCCGGAGATACTCGGTAATGGCTCATACTGTCTAGGCGTCCTCTTTTTCTATGTGCAATGACATGTGACTCTGAAATATAACCAATGCAATACCTGTATTCCACGTATTCCAGTTGAGGTCGGGGTTTCGGGGCGGTTTAGTCCCGTCCACGTTAGGTTTATTTCCACCGGGGTGCACTTTTCCCAGTTGGCCATTCAGGGGGCCCAGAATATTCTCTCATGAGCGGGTTCCCGCGGAAGCCGGCCTTTCCGAAAATAGTCTGCGGACCCTCGAGTGACCCCATCCAGCGATCTTGCCTTTGGCTTTTTCCTCTTTGGCTCTTCTCCTTACCGTTTCTGCTTCTCTCGCCAAGTCTCCAGCAGCGTTAGTGCAAGCGTAAGAGGTGGACGGGGCAGCAGTTCTTTCTGCCAAGGGGGCTCTTTTCCACTACCTGCCATCCGTTGCATAACTACGGTAAGTTACTAAGTACTCATGAAAAAGGAACCAATGCAGTGGGTATTCAAAGCTCATAATAACAACACAGATTTGCCAGCGAAACTCCTTCAGACAATCAGGTGCTCATCATATGACGGAATGATAAATTATGCTCAACCACTGTCAGCGGCATCCTGCTTATTCCTAATTTCCCGATTAAATTTAGCCCTCGGGCGCTCTCTGATAGCGCGCGGCCCAGTCAGACAAAGACCCCTGGGACTGCTGGGGACGCATCGAGAGCGACTGTTGCGCGGCGCCCTAGGGCGAGGGAATTATCTGCATTTTCGATCTTTTATTTCTGGTACGGACGAGACCTTTTCCATCCAAGCAGTGAAAAATGAAAGAGGTGAGTGTTGTGGGTAAAGTTTGGAACTTACATAGTAGAAAATTTCCAACCCGTTTTGAGTTATTGAGGCCGATTGAACCAAACAAGTAACGAGTTTCTCCACGTCAGCCTTATCACCTGGTCGGAGGTGTCATCATTGCAGGTCCGGCAGTTTAAGGGCTGTCAACCCGGCCACGTTGACTTGAGGACTGAATGAATCGTTTCAATGAAAGAAGTGAGCGCCTTGATCTACTCTATTGCAATCCAGGCCACCAAATTGGACGTTCATAGTTTCACTACGGAATATTCCGTACCTGAAGTCAATTCGACTCACCTACTGTTTAATATTCTACCAATCAAGTCCTTCGAGCACCGCGATTCCCGCAAATGCCACCTCACCAGATGTACCTCGAGCCCCCAATGACAGGAAGCCACCTACGCAAAACAAGACTGCAGCCCTGGAGTCATTCTAGTGTATGAGCCTCATTGTAGTGACGACGGCCTGCATGAGATCAGTCCACCGCGCAAGCTGTCAAGGCTACAACATTTCAATGCGAACGCATTGGTTCAATTGGCGCTCGTCTTGCAACCAACAAAAGGTCTTATCAGGCCCTTCAGTCTCGCGTGTACGAACTATTCTTAACTCCGTAATCCGCTTATATATCTATTTAGGTCGTTGCCTTTGAAATATTTGATTCAGAGTGCCGCGCTGGCTTGGTTGGTCTGTAGCTCTGCAAATCATGGCGGTGTGCTATGCTTAGAAGGTTGCTAGTTCGAATGAGCTCGAGGAGAGGTACTCCGTACTTAGTATGATGGCTATAGCTCGAAGATAAGGTGACCATGTCAGAGAGGAATCAGTCGTCAAGCTCGTTGGTCTATAACTATAGGGTTCAGTCAGTATGGCAAAGCAGAGCACCCTCGCAAATCCTTTGCGGCACCATTCTCCACACGACCTGCGATGTCGTGTCGCATCGACCTACAAGTACTACAAACAATTTATGGTCGGCTCACCAGACGGTTCCGGGAGCATTATATATATATTTATATTTTAGATGCCCGAATTTGGCTTACATACAGTGAATCTCAGCCCTTGCTTAGGATTTGGTCCACATTCATGAAATATGCTAAGTCGGAAGCTCATTTTGTACGCAGGACTCTACACCGTAGGCATATGGCAAGGGTTCATCCCCCGAAAGTGAGGAAACCTCCTCGTGCAGTGAACCTCGGCATCGGGAAAGGGCAGAACGAGCGGGCGGTGCCGAGCTTCGGACGGCCTCGTTGTCTTCCTCCCCGGACTTTCTCCAGCTTCCCGCCAGCCATTATCTTGCTGCACCACTATCCAAGCTCGGGGCTGTCTCACCAGGGGACTGTTTGTCTCAATTGTGGCTCCTTTGAAGTATGCTGAGGTGACTGGATTCTTCTCATCCTTCAATTCACGACCTTCGATTCTTTCCCCTCCCGCCCCTCTCCCGGTCGCTCCCCCGCTCCAATTGAACCCACCTGCGCCATCATCATGGATTACGACCACCACGACCCCAGCTCAGAGCAACCCAGGCGACGACGACGAAACGTGATGCGTCGACACATGCGCAATAGGGTCCCTATCTCTGCTCGTCTTTCTTTGGATCATCAGCTGCGTGGGAACATTGGTGTTGTGTCCGATGACCTGGTCGGCGACCTTTTCAGCAGTAAGTCAAACCGAGCCGTCCCCCGCTCAATAGGATCTATTTTCGCAATCTGCAGTGTTTTAACTGGTAACGCGTATTCCAGAGGACAATCAAGATGACATGGGGAACTATTATCTTGCGATCTCACCGCAGTTCCCAGGTTGCACCTCGGTCGAGGATCTCTCTTGGACCATCATTCCCGTGCGACCGCAGTCTAAAGATCGCTCTTATCAATCGCCAATTCCGCACTCCACCGTCCTTTTCCCCGACTCCGCCCTGTCCTTACAACCGTTCTTGGAGAAACTAGGCAAATTGGATCCCACCCGCCATCCCCTTCAGTCACAGCGTGCGATTGAGATACGGGTCTTGGATGCTGTGCCCTTGCCTCTGGATACAGTCTATGTGACAGTAGAGCGGAACCTTCTCCGGAATCATGATGATGTTCAAACCAAGTTTGGAGGAGGCTTCAGTTCCAACAATACCTCATCCAATGGTGGGTGGGCCAAGGGCGGGAAAGCCGCTGAAGCCAAGAAATACACGAAGAAGGCAGCAGCAGCAGAGGATGAAGAAAGGCTTACAGCTGCTGTGCGCGAGGCCCTGGGAGTCGTGAAGGTTCTGCATACTGGTGACGTCCTGCCGCTCCCCTTACCACCGCACCCCATTACATATGCTCCATCACCCCCTGCTCGTATTGCGCTTTGCGAACCGGTCTCCCAGGGCCTACTGATGCCCGCGACTAAAGTGGTCCTGGTTCATGCGCGGCCTCACGGTCACCGGGCGCAAAGAAGCCTACGAACAGGCACTGGCCTTCTCAAACAAGTAGCGGAAGATGAAGCCGATGATACTTCTAACGAACAGTTCTATTCTGCGGCTGAGGATAAGCCTATCGAGAGCAGTACCGAGGTAGAAGGTAGTATTACTGCCGACGAGTCGGAAACTGATGCCTCGGGCGGTAACATGAGTGACACATCGGACGATTCTCTGGAGGATATGATTTCGCTAACCGCTCCGGAGCTTCCTCAGCCAGCGTCGGGTGTGATGTCTGCTATGACTACTGCTACGCCCCGTGCTGGAGGGCGTCGGTTGGACGGCACTCATACTCCTGGGTCGGTCGCATCAAACTTCACTTCTGCGACCATGCGACCCGGTCGAGTTAGCGGTGGCAAGGTGTTTAAGACAGAAGGTCTCCTGCGTCAGGTGCCTGGCGACCTTTTGCATCCCCGACCACGGGAAGACGACGATCCGGAGTCTTTCATATTCGTAGACATCGGAACGCTCGCCAAGATAGGCTGTTTCTCGGGTGACTGGGTGAGGATCGAGGCATCTGAGGAGCCCCAGCACAACCCTTTCGCCTCAATCAAGCTTGGTAGCTTTAATGACCGCGAAGAGGACACTGGCGACTGGCGGGCGGTCAAGATCTATGGATTGCCGGGCCTACAATCTACGAAACCTCGATACTCGATCAACCAAACGGGAAACAGGCGCTCAAGTGTCTCTCAACTTCCCACTGTGCGCATGACCTCCGTCTTCGTTTCACCACTGCTTCTGAACAATCTTGACAACCCAAAATATCTACGCATCTCCCCGATGACTTTCGCTACATCGAATGGCGCGAAGCCCAACCTACTCCACCAGGTCAAGTCCAGCGTTGCTCGGAATCCGCCTCTGGCCAAGGAGGTCACGCTGCTGAAGGTCTCGACTCCTCTGTCGATGGACCGTGTTCTTCAACCTGCCCTGTTCGCTGGCCTCAAACAATACTTTGAATCTCGTCGAAGACTTTTGAAGGGCGGGGACCTTGTGGGTATTAGCATCGATGAAGGCCTCGGCAGAGCCGTTTTTCAAGGCGCAGCTACCGGCGACGCTAACGCCCAAGAAGACGATCTGACCACGAGACTAGGACAGATGTCTTATTCTGATCATGCCGGGTCTAAGAAGGTCGGAGTCGCATGGTTCCGTGTTGGCCAGGTTATCCCCAGTGTTCCGGACGATCAGGATGAAGCCGGCGACAACCGATGGGGAGGAGTGGCCGTTATTGACTCCGCCACTACCCGAATGGTACAAGCTGGGAGCGACGTCAGCAGGGTACCGGGCTCGACAGATAATGGCTGGGAGTATTGGCTTGGGGTCAAAGCTGTACCCAAGGCTGCCACTGAAGCGCAAACGAGCCATGGTTTGGTGACCGACGTTCCACAATCATTCATCTCACCTTTGCAGCAGCGCCTCCGAGAACTGATTTCTGTCGCCACCAGTCCTCGTGCGATCCAGCTCGGTATGAAGCCAGTCGTCATCCTCCTGAGATCCCAACAACGACACATTGGCAAGGCCACAGTTGCAACACGTGCATGTGCTGACATCGGCTTGCACACCTTCCCAATTGATGCCTATGATATCCTTACGGAAGGTGGTGCCAATGGTGGCGATGTCAAGACCGAAGCATACTTGAAAGCCAGAGCGGAACGTGCTTTCCTTTGCGGGGCCGACTGTACTGCGCTACTAATCAAACACATTGAAGTCTTGACTGCAGATCGCATAGTGTCGGCCATGGCTGAAATTGTGGCCGATGCGCGGGTGATTATCGCTACTACGACGGACGTCGAACAGATGCCCGAGGGCCTTCGAAGTATGTTCACCCATGAATTCGAGATGTCTGCACCAGAGGAGAAGGAACGTGAAGGTATTCTTCGCAATGCTGTTTCAGAACGTGGCATTCGACTTTCACCTGATGTTGATTTGGGGTCAGTGGCTCTGAAGACCGCTGCCCTGGTCGCTGGTGATTTGATTGACGTGGTCGAACGTGCGTCGTCTGCAAGAACTGCACGCTTGGAAAGACTGGCGGAGGCATCGAGCAAGCAATCGAACCAGAAGATTGGGATTCGCGATATCCTAATTTCTGGCGGCGACGCGGCACGAGGCGTCACAAAGCTTGATTTCGATACCGCCGTTGACGCTGCGAGGAAGAACTTTGCCGATTCCATCGGCGCCCCCAAGATTCCAAATGTTAGCTGGGAGGACGTGGGTGGCCTGTCCAATGTCAAAGAGGCGCTCGTTGAGACCATCCAACTGCCGCTCGAACGGCCTGAATTGTTCGCCAAGGGCATGAAGAAGCGTAGCGGTATTTTGTTCTATGGGCCGCCTGGTACCGGAAAGACGCTTCTGGCCAAAGCCATTGCAACCGAATTCTCGCTGAACTTCTTCTCCGTCAAGGGACCTGAGCTCCTGAACATGTACATCGGTGAATCCGAAGCCAATGTACGACGCGTCTTTCAGCGTGCCCGGGATGCTCGCCCCTGTGTTGTCTTCTTTGACGAGCTGGACTCAGTGGCCCCCAAGAGAGGTAACCAAGGTGACAGTGGTGGTGTGATGGATCGCATTGTGAGTCAACTTCTCGCCGAGTTGGATGGAATGAACGGCGGAGAAGAAAACAGTGGTGGTGTCTTTGTCATCGGCGCGACCAATCGGCCCGATCTACTGGATACGGCGCTTTTACGCCCAGGTCGCTTTGATAAGATGCTCTATCTTGGTGTCTCCGATACACACGAGAAGCAGAGAACCATTCTGGAGGCGCTTACACGGAAATTCGCCCTTTCCCCGGATCTTTCTCTTGCCCGGGTAGCTGATCGGCTTCCACTAACTTACACGGGCGCCGACTTGTACGCTTTGTGTTCGGACTCGATGCTCAAAGCTATTACACGCAAGGCCACGGCGGTGGATGAGAAGATCAAGCAACTTCCAGGTGAGCCTGTCAGTACAGCGTACTTCTTTGACCATCTTGCCACGCCGGATGACGTGGCGGTGGTGGTCACGGAAGACGACTTCCGGGCGGCCCAAGATGAGCTTGTTCCCAGCGTTAGGTAAGCTACGACGGACGCTCCGATGCGGATTTCTCTCCTTACTAACAGCATCCAGTGCCAAGGAGCTTGAGCATTTCGAGCGAATCCGACAGACCTTCGAATCGGTCGATAAGCAGAAGCAGGAGTCGGTAAATGGTGCCTCAGGGCCACCGCAAACAATTCAGGATGCGCTGGATGCGCTGAATCCGGGCGGGCAATTGGAATTTAGCATGGGCGGGCCTGTCGCTAATGGAGACGCTCAGTCCCCTGCAGTCAACAAAGGAAAGGGCAAACAGATCCCATCTATGGTGCGAAATGCGAGTGGCCAGTCGACCAGTAGCAAGGGCAAGGGTAAGAGTCCCGCGGGAGCTGGAGGGAAAGCGAAGGGCAAGACTGTCAACATCCCGAATGGTGACTCTGACTCTTCCCTTGACGGTCCCACCTTTGGGTTGCGAACGGATCGAGGAGGCTCGCGTGGATACGATGATGTTGGGGAGGATGAAGAGGACAATGTAGAGAACGGGATCGTTCACAGTGGCGACGAAGATGACTACATCATTCGGACTGACCATCTGGCTCCGACTGGTGGATCGGGGCTTTGAGAATACTCGGCCACTGACGGTGTGCCAGGGGGCGGGGGAGCGCGGCGTCAATAGGAGACAAGGCTTGGCGATTGCACTTCCAAATTAGTGTGCGTGCGTGTGTGTGTGTGTGTTTGTACATATATATGATTTGCCATGACTGCATATGAGCATTGTTTGTATGTATATTTTTGTCAGCGAACGGTTGTTGTCTGATAAGAGACAGCGGAGGGAAATCTGCGGTGGCCACATGAGGTCATCGAGGTACTGCACAGCAGCTGGATGGATGTCCAATGAGCCTGCCCAACCTAATTTAGCTCAACGACAACGACTACTACCATTCTGATGTGTGACGCGTTTCGTATCTATCATACCTGAGTAGTCTTGATAGGCTTTTAGGGGACAGAAAATAGATATGCAGAGAAGCCAAAGAACATTCTAAGTCTGGAAGGAAG